GACGTTGGCGACCTTGGGATAGTAGGTGGTGCGTGAGTGGGAGCGGGTGGCAAATGGTAAGGTGTGATGGCGTTCGGACCCGGTTGCGAATGCAACTCGCGAGTTCCAATGTATGGACTATGTCCTTGGCTCGAGCACGTTGTCGACGCCTGTTGTCTTCGTCCGCCAAACCCGTTGAGCGACGAACACCTCGACGACGAGCGAGTGGTGGTGACGATCGGTGTAGGTGGTGGTCCACCATGATAGTGGCTATACACGCTGTAGTGTTGTTGAGTGGCGAACGTCTCGTTGGTGATGGGCGACAATTCAACGTTTGGGGTTATAGGGCTGGCGGGTAGTGATGATGTGGGCGAGTGGTGGCTCGAGGATGTAGAGGAGGAGGAGACAGGAGAGCCGTACGCCTTGATGATGTGGCTATTGTTCGTATTGTTGTTGTGGAAGAGACTGCGCACAATGTGGACGTGAGGCGACGACTTGGACGAAGCCGGGTAACTGTACAATTCCGTCGGCCCCGTCTCGAGCAAGTCAATCTTAGGCTTGGTGTACCCCTTGCTGGAATTACTCCTCTTTGAGCCCATCATGCTGGTGCTCCTGGTGACGGGCGAGAGAGCCGTAGCGGTGATAGGCGAGAGGGCGGACTGGAACGTGTTCATCCACGCGTCCGGTGGGGTGGTGAGCAAAATAGACGAGACGATCAAATAGATGATGAGGAGAACGTCGACGCCCTGGTACTCTTCTGTGATATGTTCTTGGTGCTGGGAGACCGAAGAGGTGTAAATGGAGAGACGGCTGGGGATGGACGTGGCCTGCTTTGAGCGGCCCCAGGTGCCCGCTGCGAATGAACTCGAGGGCTCAAATGTAGCGACGGCGCGATGGGATGTGCAGGCGTGGCTGCAGAGGGTGCATTCGTAGTAGCCGGCTGCGACACGCTTCCACTTGAGTGGGTTCGGTTGACCGGGGATATGATACTTGCGGGATCTGATCAGGGCCAGCAGTCAGTATTAAACGTCAAAATAATGAACGTAATGAAACGAGATAAGAGATGGTTGCCGTAGTGCTGGATGATGGAAGAGGAGGAGGGGGGCGGGATTGCAAAGGCCGGAGAGTGGACAGTGGCCCATACCCCATTCACTCGGGCTCAGATTGGGGTTGTGGAAATAATCCGGAGACTTGGAAATGGAAATGTAGGAAAAAAGAGTCATGGCTCACCCTCCCAACACGGTCTTCTTTAGAAAACTTCCAGCAGATTGAGGCTGCCCGTTGAGGATTGTGACGCGCGCCGCGGACAACGACTTGGAGTTGGAGGACGCGTTCGTTGGCCACTGGATGTCTGCGACGGCGTCGTATTTGAGGTTGAGGCCCTTGTGGTCTGCGCGGTAGAGGGTGGTGGTGTTAGCCCTCGTCTCGATGCTAAACAGTGCCTTTGCATTCGACTTGTTTGTTGTGAGACAGTGCGATGCCGCGTCGTAGAGCACAGTGTCGAGATAGGAAGTCGATGATAGATTGAGGGTGAGCAGAGGGAGGGGTAGCATGGATGGAAAGTTGGGACACATTATCCTCGGAGGAGGAGTGGGATGGGGGAGAGTTGTCTCTGAAGTGGTCCTTTATAAGCCGTGTTAGTCACTTTTTGCAGAGGCGTGAATAAGCGCGGTAGCGCTCGTCCCAGTCCCAGTCCGTCATCCTCCGACCAGGACCACGCCCTGCTCACTCGTCCCGTCCCTAGCCTCCCGTCTCCTCTTCCGACATTCTGGCACCAGTCTAGCCATTTTCCACATTTTTTAGTGTTATTTTTTAGATGCACGCGCAAGGCGTACGAATAACCTCCGAGCCGACGGACTACGGGTTTTTCTATGGGAAATGGAAATCCGACGTGATCGCAGTGGGCACACGTATCCCATTCACTCGCCATTATTTATTTATTTATTTAATTTCCGACCAATTATCTAATACTCCTTACCTAATACTCCTGTCACATACTCGTGTATATATACCAATCGCCAGACCCTCGCCGGCGCTCTGTACAACGCTCGAGGTGTAGATACGTCTCGGCGAGTGAGCAGCGAATGCACAGAGGCCAAGCCGAGACAGCTGCTGTCAACAAATAATTCCGGTAGAGATAGACACCTCCACCAGCGATTACCAAAAAACCACATAGGCGCCCACCACCACCAAGTAATCGTATATCGACACGATAACTCGAACTATCAGTACCATGTTTGATGGTCTACTCGGATCTGATCCATCAGTACTGCCCGTCGTGCAGCTCCCGCACCGCTGTGGCTACATTTTATCTATCCATAGTGGGTGCATGGGTGAGCCAATGGTGGCTAACCGCCCATGAAATGCCGCCCGCTCGATGCCTTCCCGAAGGATCTACCCTTCTCACATCCCCTCAATTCTTGCGAACACAGTAGAGTGGTTTTTTTGGGAAGAGGTACACCGAATCGACCGCCCGGGTTTAAAAACTCTCCATACAATTGGCGCTTTTTCCTACCATAGGAGAAGGGTGGAGACCACAAGGGTCGTCTATACCTTATCTTGGATTTCTACTTCCGTACTACGGTCAAATCTCTGCACCACCACCAACACACTATTCTAGCGGTTATGCCAGTACTACGTTTTGGTAAGGGTCTACTCAGCCGTCCTCTCGAGTTGGCATACAAGCCCGGGTCACTCCAACGCCCGGCCACCCTTCTCGCACATCCCGACAGTATCACCTAAACCAACATGACAAACTTGCGGGCCCTACAGTCATCCGACCCCGGTCTTGGAGGTCAGAGGTCGGGAGGAGGGGGGGGGGAGGAGAGTTATCCAACGGCATAACCCTCCTCGTATAACCAGGCGTGTGGGGAGAAGGGACCAGAGACATATCCCAGTGATATTCTCATTCTAGGAATAATAGCCCCTTGCGCGGCTATGGTGGTGACAACAGAAGACGGCCAGACTCGGACGATGTTCGAATTAAAAGCGTTCATCACGGTCATCATCCCACATACTACTACCCCAATCTTAATATATCATGGGTCCAGTGAGACGAACCCGCGAGAACGTAGGGTAAACCTATACCCATCTATCCTTACTGGTGACCAAGTTGAACAACACCCTGCGTTCTGTTCGGAGTAGCAGGTTAGTAGGCAAGGACACGGCCATAATCACGTACACTCAGCTCCTTCCTAGATCTCAGATCTGTTTGGGTCGAGCACGTACGTTCCTCAGAACTCCCAGCAAGTCCGACGCAGGAGCGTCAAAGGTACGCTCCCAGCAGAGCAAAAGCTAACGTTTGAGTTAATAACGATTTTAACAGGGCGCGCGGGGTGAGCATATGGACGTACGTGGGACGAATGTCGGGGCGCGCGCGCCTTGCCACTTCAAGACCGGATTTCGACCTTCCCACCCAACAAGACGTTTCTGAAAATACGTTATAAACAATAACGTGAAAAATAACGTTTAAATTCCCATGGATAACTCGTCAGGAGTCGGGTATATGCGACCCTTGCCTACTGCATGCGCATCCACGAAAATGTCGAGTCAAAAAATCCCATTGGCGATCCGTTTGCTGATTGCCGAGCTGCCAAAAAACTTTTTTTTGCACTTTCACCTTGTCACTTTTTCACGTTTTTCGACTTCCAGTTGGAACATTCTCTCATTTCACGTGCTGGCTCCGTCGGTGGTTTCTTTGGGAGCTGAGGCGTACCATGATGTCGATCTCTCCCAACCTACTGCCGAGCCGTCTCCACTCACGTACGCACTCTCTCCCAACTCGTTCTGTTCGGTCTGCTCTTCACATGGAACGGGGCGTACCGTGACGACCTTGCCGGCCTCACACCAGCCCTGTCCAGCAAGGTTTACCGTTTTCTTCACATGCAATGGCCTAGAGCTGGACGTGTTATGATTGACCCTTCATTAATCCAACTTTTTGAACAGGGTTGGCTCCCTTGGTAGGGCCTCACACGACCCTCGCGCCTCCCCTTGTCTGGACGTGTGGCCAACTTTCAAACTCCGCAAAGGTTAATGGGGGTATTAAGTCTGACCATTAGGACTGCGCTTCTCGAGGTCGTGTGGGTTCGGCATGCTGACAAAGCTCTGTCATCTGGTGAGTAGCTGCTGACGCATAGGAACCATACCGTATATGTATTGGTACCTCCACAGTCAAGATCCCCTACGCTGCGGAAAGAGTCCAGCCGTGCCGCGTCACTGCCGTGGCCCACACACACACACACTCAATCAAATGGCAACGTAGAATATGAGAGGATTGTAGTGTAATGTATACGTGTCTATTCGATCAATGGTATAGTGATCAGCTGCTGCTGCTTATCATCTAAAGAGCTATATACGAATCTCCCGAGTCGGGCGTCCGGTACAATCCACAGTTCTACCCTCCCGTACCAACCGGAACAATTAAAATGAACACGAACGAGTATAGAGCAACGAGTGGAGCGTTCAAGAACACTTCTGGGGTCGTCAGGCTAGGGTCTCGTTCATTACCTCATCGCCTCCGAGACCTACGGAAGATTCAGTCAGTTTTGACATAGGTGCTCATAGAGAGTGAGCATATTAGTTTTTTCTTGCTAATCCCAACTTCTTTTGAGCGACCTTACGCACTGCCAAAATGATAAGCACGAGATAGATTGGCTCACCCCGCTCTACCCTCGTTTTTTCGACATGTCATCCGAATATTGCCATCTGAGTGCTCGCGTGCCGTTGATCGGAGATTGAATGGCGCGCGTTGTGGTCCCGTTGGTGGATTGGTCATCACAATGCACAGGACATCCGATCCTTTATCTCGTCCTTGTCCTCTTTTTTTTTTCCTAGCTCAACAAATCTCGGTGGAGCGCTCGTTCGCACGAAAAAAGGTTTTGGCGAGACCTAGACCCGCCAGTACCCCCATGCCGAAATTTTTTGTATGGGCGCCTAATACCTTTGCTCAATTCCGCCACTAACCTTTCTGCGTAGTATTGGGGGTTTTGAGGTTTTGGGTGTCCATATGGTTCATGACAGCGCGTGACTGGGAACGCGGGCGTCAAGGCGTCTCTGTTATTGCGTCGGCGCCTGCCTCCTGAGAGTCGAGCCGGATCAACGCCCATGCCGGAGACGCATCCGACGTGACGGAACGGGATTTGCATCGTCGTGAAGAGATCGTTCCTATTTCCAGCTCCGGTCGAATCACCGTGCCTTCCTTAGCAGGGGTAAGGGAGTTATTAAGAGTTATAAGGTTCTATAGAAATATGATAATATACCTACAATCGAAATAGTTCATTATACAAGAGTGAGAAGTACAGGATCAGTCAGTTGATTCTCTTGTCGAAAGCGATAAGGATAATAGAGTGGATCAGGAGTTAAATACCTAAAGCATGGTCACTTGTTTACCCAAAGATATCAAGACGAGGTGAGAACAGCCAATCTGTCATAGTAATGTCATGATCTACAGTAATAAGCCCACCGGCTGAAACACCTTTGGGTCGAGTTATCGTTTTGGTGTTCACTCGCATCGGATATGTTGCTGTCCCAAGATTTCCTGCCCAGTCGAAATCCACTATATGGATCGAACAGCCGTCTTTGCTGTCGATTGTCTCTGGATCGACAAGAATATTGACTACCCGGATATCACCATGGACCAAGTTGTGCTTATGGAGCGTTTCGACAGCGTATAGAACCCGGGATTTCACGACCAGTTGTGCCTGAGGTGAAAGCGATAGATTGATTTCAGATAGTAAAGTATAGTTTGAACGATCCATTACAACCATAAGCCAGCCCCCTGGTAGACCCATAACAGCTCGAAGTCGGGGGGCAAGCCCAAGGTCGGCAAGGATTTGATGAGCCGATTCTGAATACCGTCTAGTGAACTTGACGCAAAGGTGTTGACGAGGGTCTTCATTTGTCCGAGCGAAGAAAATGAGCGTTTCAGGAATTTTCGAGTCGTATTCAAAGTTTATCTCCTCATCCATCTCGCTTTTATAGCCTGTCTGATAAGGAAAACATCGGCCTCGTAAAATAGTCGTTTGCTTGAGTTCGCTATAGTGATCTCTAAGTTTCTTGGTGACCTCCAAGAATGCGTCCAGACTGGATGCAATGACTTTTCTGTCGGTTTCTTCGAGCCAAGAAGTTGTCAGATGGTATAGCGGGGTTAGCGGCTCGACAAAGAGCTCTTTTCCTGTCCACAAGCAGCCGTAAAAGCCCATGTCTGTACCTAGTCTCATCGGGTGGTCAGCTAGCAAGCTAAGGTCAATGAAAGCATACCAATATCAGCCATGAGGATACAAGGAAACCGCGTTCCCCGATGAGACAGTTGTGGGACCAAGAATTGTACATAATATCCTATGGCTTCATAGAGTGCGGATCCCTGCTCGTCCTTGCATTCTCGGATGACAGCTGGCATGATGATAACAGGAACTTGGGTACCGCCTGTTTTGTATTCTGTTCCTGAGACAGTCTCTGGAGAGAGGTAGAGACCGGCCCTATGATTGAGGATATCTCTAATTGCAGTCCTTCGGCCAGTCTCGTCTCTGTGCCAGTCACAAGTCGCCTCCGAGAGGGCATCCAAAAGCTCTAGGGCACTTTCAGAAGGCGGTTGCATACATGCATCTTTAAACATTCCAAATTCCCGTTGGAGTAAAGTAATAGGAACAGCATTGAAGTCGAATGGGCGGTTGCAACGTACGATGTCGCCTGCAGCTTTTCGGAATTCGGAAGGTTTGGCAAGAGACGAGGGGGCACGTTTCGCAAGGGGTTTGAGAAGACCCCTTTCAGCCTCTACATCATTAGGCTCCTCTCGCGTTAGGGTCCCTGGATCCTCTACAGTAACGAACGCGAATATTCGATTGAATAAGCGTTATCAGTAGGACGTAAAGTGACATTAATGATTATTGTAGGGGTTCAATATAAATGTGATCCCTTCTTTATGTCCAGAATCCTCAGTACCAACAATCTCTCGGAGGCTCGGGAGTAATAGAATGAAAATCTGCAGCATAGATATTGCATAGGTCGAGTTAATTGTAGGGAGCTACCGAGGGTCCCTGCCCATTGTATGGCGACTCGAGTTCAGACCCGGCCACATCCAGCCGCTCATGCCAAAACATCAATCGGAGACTTACACGTTCTTCTGCGTCCTCGATAATGATGAGAGAAAGAACCCTTTCATCGTTAAAGTGGAAACATCCGCCATGGTAGCCCAGTTGACGTCGGGGATCGTAGAGGAATGTAAATTGAGTGTACCTGCATACCAACTCCAGTTATATCAGGTGGATATTCAAGAGATTTCCCCGAAGAAAAGAAAGGTTTTAGTAGAGGAGAGAATACTTGGACTGAAGGATGAAGAAGCTCTTGACCCGCCGGCCCTGTTGTCAGATATATATCCCTCTGGTATCACCAAAAGCTCGGTTCATTTCATCGTTCGTGTTCCTCCAAGTGAGTCGATTGCGGATGTTATACGTTTTGTATTAGGACTGACGACCACGCCCTCACATGTACCTTCTTCCTTTCATGTTGCCACATCACACTTATATTGAACCCCTACAATAA